CATGGTCTCTCCTGCCCGGGCTGGCTTTGAACCGAGATCCTCAGATCTCAGCCTCCTGAGTAGCTAGGATTACAGGCGTGAGCCACCAGCGCCCGGCCACTTTGTACACTTTACATGGTTTTAATTGATTAAAAAATGGAGGTGGGGGGAGAACTGTTCAGATTTGAAAACATCTCCTCCACAGAGCCTGGGCTTTTTCTCTCCAAGGTCTCAGACACCTGATCCAGTGACTTTTATGTTACTTTTCTGACTTCATTTAACTTTCATTTGTTAAATTATCTTTAAGCAGTACGCAAAGAGGTTGTCATTTCACAAGGCAGTTTGTGAATACAATGCATTTTGCTTGGCTTCTAATTTCAACATGTTCACCTATCCCTCCTAACGCACCTCCTACTTCACTTCTTCGTTTTATAGAATACATTGAAATCTTGACTGTTTTCTCCATTCCTCCCTTCTCCTCATTTGTCTCTATTGTTAATTCTTTTAAAAATAATTTTAATTATTTTAATTAGTTGTATAAAGGAATTTACATTCACCAAAGCAGGGTTTTTTGTTGTTGTTTTGTTTTTGTTGTTGTTGTTTTGTGGGGTTTTTCAAATTTTTGTTTTTGCCCATCCTGAAGTTTGAATTCAGGGCCTGGGCTCTGTCCCCAAACCTCTCTGCTCTCAAGGCTAGCACTCTACTCCTTGAGTCACAGTGCCACTTCTGGCTTTTTCCGTGTATGTGATTCCGAGGAATCGATCCCAGGGCTTCATGTATGCTAGGCAAGCACTTTACCACTTAGCCACTTCCCAGCCTCACCAAAGTAATTAATAAATACAGTGCATCTTGATCCATGTCACTCTTTTCAACAACAGTCTAATCCATCCGCTCAACCCACCCACCCGTTTCCCTTACTTACTTTAATTTTAGGTTACATATTTAATTAAATAATTAATGCACTAATTTGCAATTTAACAAAGCATCATCTGTTTGTTCAAGGAGGTATGCCTCTCAACCCTCTCTTGTAAGGGTTCCTCTGCCCCTGTGCTGAACTGGCCCTGGAGAGATGGTAAGGTTGACTTCCAGAAGAGCCGTTTTACAATTCAAGAGCAGGGCTGTCTTGAAGCGAAACAAAGGATCTCCGTGGACCACAGGCGGTGAGGATGCTTTCTATGGCCACCCCCTATCCTATAGTGCAGCTCCTTTTAGATTTTCTGGACCACGGTAACACTGAGGACTGAGGGGAAGAGTCTGGGCTCCAGCATGTAGCTAGACCAGCCCAGCACTGACTACCACTACAGGCTGCGAAAAGGGATTGCGCCCAAATCTACCAAGTCTTTTTGGGTCACGTTTCCTTATTCGCCTTCTGGCACACCAAACTGCGAGGCATAACTTTTTCTGGAAGTAGAAGCCGGTCCAAGTACACAAAGGGTTACCATAGCTTCCCCTCTTGCTCCACATTGGCTCCGTGGTGTTTGGTTTTGGTAAGCTGGGCTACCACCATGTTGGACTTTCTGCCTGAGCTAAGACTTTCCTTCAAGACTTTCTGCCTGCATCCTATCCTGCCTTGCCTACCAGTTCTCAGGTATCTCTGCCTTCATTCAGTTCTCCAGGTTTTATTATGCTTTCTTGCAACTTAGAAGTTTCCTTCTATACTTAGCCAAAAAATGATTTCAGAACATTAATCTTTGCTAACATACACACATACAAAGAGGTAAATTACAACACACTGTCTTCATTCTATAAATTTGATAGAATTTATGTTCTATTTTACTTAAACATTTTCTTAGGAAGTCTACAATAACCCACATAGTTCTAAAGATCATATCACTTGATTTACTAGTATTAGAAATTTTAAATCATTGCTATTGTTATTGGATTCTTATTTAAGTTTAATTGTCATACAGACACTTTTTATAATCTGTAAATTTTAAATATTGTGTTTGATGATTTAGAGTATGGTTTATCTGTCAATTTATGTAGAATATGTATTTTAATATTAGTAACAGTTTTCTATAAATGTCATATAAATGCAATGAATAGTATATTTTCTAATAGTTATTTCTTTGACCTGCTGGATCTGTGGGTTATTGATACATGAGTTAAAAAAATTCTGTAAAGCTATTGATATATTATTGTCTAGTTGTACAACTTAAATTTCCTGTTTTCTTTTAAGTTGGTTCATCTTGTTTTGTCTATATGACCACTTTATTTTTTAATATTTTTGCTTTGGCTGATTTCTTTTTGTTGTCACAGTTCATTTTAAAGCAGTCATATGTGGAAATCTATATTGTTGAAGGCTTAACATGCTTTCAATATTCAAATATACTGACTGGTAGCAAATAAACAAAACATCATTCCCTTAAAGTAAAAATAATAAACAATTACTTATCACATAATATACAGCCAGTTATCATGGCTCTAATACAAAGTGTGACTCTGATCATAAAATATTGTATAAGAGTTGTCTAAATCAGAAGAAATAATAACTATCATAGTCCTGCTCTGATTACAGCAGTATCAGAATTAAAAGTCCTGTGGAATTGATCCTTAGAGAAATTTTGATGCTTCATCCAGTAATAATATATGAGGTAAGATAATGCATAAAATTAGCAATAAGGAAATTGCACTTCTTTTTTAAAATTTTTTATTGTGAACATATTGTACAGAAGGGTTACAATTACATGGGCAAGATAATGAGTACATTTCTTATCAAGCATTGTAGCCTCCTCCTTTGTTTCCCCTTCACATCCCTTCCCAGACTTCCCCCACCTCCCATCCAATCCTCCCCCCCCCTCCAAAGTTGTAAAGTTTGTTTTTGACATGACAACTTGTACTTCTTGTTGTTGCAACAGGTCCACCTGTATCCTTATTTAAACGACTTGTTTTTCCCCTTCCCCTCCACAAATTATACCGACATCAAATACAGTGAAAGCAGGGGTTATACTGTGGGGGAGGGACATAGAAAGCAACAAAGAAATAATCTTATAAATGCATTAGAATCAAATGCATGAAAGATAAACAACATTTAAATACATATCTAGGGTTCATTTTCCTAACCACCTTATCTAACCTTTTCTGCTTGACTCATACATATACTAGATATTGCAGATAAGGGAAACCATGGGACCTATGTTTCTTTGAGCTTGGCTTAGGAAATTGCACTTCTTGATGTCTAGGAAAATTCTATTAGTCATAAAATTGAGTGGAACAAAGTTGAAAATTGAATGAAGACAAAGGATGGATATCTGAGATAGGCAGCACAAAGGTGAAAGCCTAAGAGAAAGGTTGCTTGAATATTACCTTAAATCGGCATAACTATGAATACTGAACACAGGAGAAAATAATGGCAGCCATGGAGAACCTTCAAAGAACTTTGAAATATAGTTCAAGAATTTAAGTATTTAGAAAGCAGAAAATACAGAACCTATTAAATTTAGCAAGTGTATAGGAGGTATTTGTATCCAGTTGACTTTTGACAAAGGCCCTATAAACATACATTGAGAATAAAACAAGTCTTTTCAACATATGGCAAGATTAAATATGACATAACATGACACTATGATATGTGATAGGCACAAGACGGAAACTCGATTTTCACCATGTCTGCAAGTCAATTTAAAAAAGATGAAAGGCTTAAATGTAAGACCTAAAACTACAAATGAAGATATACTGATCCTCCAACCTTGTCGATGCACAGACATATACCACATGAAATACCACTTTTTCCATGACCAACACATGTTAGATCTGCTTATCCAACATGTGTTTTTCACGGAAAAAGTAATAGTTGAATTCTCCAAATAGTAATGGTGAGCATTCCAATGGCATTTGATAGAGAAATGGAAACTGAGAAACAGTCCTGAGAGCAAGTGAGAATGCATTCAGAGAACAGCTACAGGTAAGGTGTGCTTCATATGAACAAAAAAGGAGAAAATACAGAGAAAAGAGAAACAATCCTAGAAAGATGTGGGCAGATATCCTACAATGGTCCATATCAGTAGTATAAAGCTTCAGAAGGAAGTAAAAGAGATGAATGATATCTAACTTCCACAGTAATGCTTCAGAACTTCTGAAGAACCCACCATTGTAGCTTCCTAGGACTTAGTGCTCTTTTGGGCAGTAGAGTTTCTGTAGAGCAATCTTCATATCTTTGTTCCTCAAACAATAGATAACTGGATTCAAAGCAGGTGTAAAGATGGAGTAGAAAATGGAGGCCAGGCGACCTTGAGCTGGGGAGTATTGAGAAGCTGACCTGAGGTACATGAAGCTTCCAGTACCATAAAACAAAAGCACTGTGGTCAGGTGAGAGGAACAGGTAGAAAAGGCTTTCCACCTCCCATCCACAGAGGGGATCTGGACGATTGTAGAGATGATGAAGACATAGGAAATAAGTGTGAGGGCAAAGGAGCTCATGATAATGCAGCTGCTGACAGCAAAGCCCACCTGCTCATTGTGGTGGTAATCGGTGCAGGAAAGTCTCATGACAGGAGGGATGTCACAGAAGAAATGCTCAACGACATTGGGTCCACAGAAAGGAAGGGAGAAGGTGTTGACAGTGTGGAAGACTGAGTAAATGGCCCCACTTAGCCAGGCCATGACTAGCAATTCACAGCAGAGTCTCTGGTTCATGATGATCCCAGAGAGCAGAGGTCTGAGGATGGCCAGGCACCGGTCATAAGCCATGGCGGTGAGCAGAAAGCTCTCAGTAGCAGCAAGTGTAATAAATATGTAAAGCTGAGTCACACATTCAAAATAGGAGATGATCCCAGAGCCTGTGAAGGAGGTAGCCAGTGCCTTGGGGATGGTGACAGAAGTATAACACATATCCAGAAATGACAGATTCTTCAGGAAGAAGTACATGGGGTAGTGGAGCCTGCTGTCTCTAGTCACAGCCATAATAATGGAGAAGTTTCCCAGGAGACAGAATATATAAACAAAGAAGAAAAATAGGATGACCACAAATCTCAATTCTGGGGCATCTGAAAAGCCCCTGAGGATGAATTGAGTCACTCTAGTCAGATTGGACATGTCTCCTCTTTGAAGGGTATTCAGATGCAGTGGAGACCACAGCTAAATGGAACAGAAAGGAGAGCACAGTCTGAAATATCCACTTTGTCCACAGAGCTTTATTATCTATCAATGAAACAGTCTTCTAAGTCAGTATCTCCTGCCTGTTAGCTAGTCAAATCACATTGCCAGCTGTGGATAATATTTTGTTAGGTGGGATAAAACTTTGTGAGAAAGAGGAGCTAAGGAACAGGCTAGGTGGGGAAGGAGAGGAGGAAGAAGAGATACCTGTTAAAGTTCTATTCCTCTTAAATTTTTGCATAGCTTCAGGTGAGAATTCTTTCATGTATTTTTTTCTTCTATGTTTTAAAGCAATTCAACCCTTGTAAACATTTCAACATTAACTCAATTTTGTCTTTAAAAATAATAGGCCTTGTTTTGGTCTTCCCTACCTCCTAACATTCTGACTTCCCATAGTTTTCAAGTGTTTGGTCATGTTCTTCCTCATAAGAACCTTCTCTTCCAGCTTCCTTTTGTAGTTATTTCTTTTGTCCTATCCTATTGATTTTCTTGAGAGTTGAGTTTATTTTTTATGATTAAGTTAAAAATAACTCTACTAACACACATGGAAAACTTTTGTGCTTCAAATTATAAACTTAAAACGCTTGAGTCCTAAATTCACATACCAAACTTGTGTACCAAGAAAAGTTGATTTTATTTACTTGCCTTCAGATGCTGTCATGAATGGGAGGGGAGCAGATGCAAAGGTGAAATTGAAGATGAAGATATCCGATGACATCATTTGTAGAAATTCAAGTCATATTAATCAAAATTTTCACTTCTTGCTTGTGATAATTTGGAATTACTAAACTTTAGAACACTATTCTCCAAAGAATACCTTATCACAAGTAATCATTGTATAATGCAGACCCCCTAAAATTAGAAATAGGCATTATGGTTCAGTATCATTTAAACATGCCCTCATTGATTCATTTGAAACAAAGAACTAAATATTGAAAGAAAAAAGAACATGTCAACTCCTACAAAAATTGTTCATGTTTTTATTTCTAAGACTTAGAAAGGTATATTTCAGTAAGTCTAAGTTTTATGTAAAACATTTAATGAGATACAAATGTTCAAGTATTTGATGTTGGAATATATGAATTAGTTTGTAACATTATACTATAGAAAGCACAAATTGCTCCTGTTACCTGACCTTTGGACATATCTTTAAAGCTGTTGTTGATGGTGTGTTTTATTTTCACTGAGTTTGTTTTCCCTAGAGGTGGGATGATGACCAGCTAGGATTCTGAATGAATGAAAATTTAAAAGATGGTGGAATATTTTTCATTAAGAGATCCAGTCCATGTTTCCCAATATCATAATGTACTTATCTCACATCATAAATCCCTTTATTATTAGAGAGCTGGTCCCCACAGCAAATCCCTTCTAAAATGCAAGCCCACCCATCCTCTCCTCTTACTACTACTGTTGCCGTCTCAGTTCCGTTTATTGACATGCTTTTCATCGTGCATTTATTAGTTGGGCTGTCAAGGCAAAGGGAATTCTGGCCATGATGGCATAGTATGCCTTGGAGAAATGTCTATAAAAAGGATTTTCCTGAAGCCCAGAGTATGTGAAGGCTGTGTGTGCTCATTAACAGTAAAGGCTAAATCTGAGGGGGATCAGGAAATAAAAGAGGTCAATATATACTGAATGTTGGTATATGTTTGCCTTTAGTCTGAAACATGTATGATATTCTAAATTATTTCTATCACATTAATGATAATAATCAGCAAGCAGAAAATGAGAACCTACTCCTACAATTGGAGGTCAAGACAAAATGAATACAACATTTGCTATTTAGTACAGAAGATACTTACAAAAAAAACACAAAAAAACTCCAAAAAACTCTCAATTAGCTCTCATTTGGAGGAACAAAGCTTACTTTTTGTATCCAGAATTCTTTGGATGTCCAGAAGGAAGACAGGGCCTCCTCAAAGAGCAGTGTCAGCATGTCGTAGCAAGAAGTAGGCTGAAGGTGTGGGTGAAGCTAGATGATTCTTATTGTATTAGACACTGACACTGATTTCCCTGCAAGAACACTTGGGAAAATAAGTGCTTTTCCACTTGGGAAAATAAGAGATGTGCTTTGAGCTCCCCCGGGAGCTTGCCCTGGCATTATTTTTGGTATGTCAATGAAAAGGTTTATTCCAGATATCACCAATGAAAGTAGAGCTCCCAGGGCCTCCCTTAGGTTAATTGAGAGAACTGGTTGTCAAAGAATAAGTTCTGAGTGTACACAAAAATGTCAGTCAGACTTTCATCTCTATACCTTTCGGAGGAACATAGGGTTGAGGACCCTTGGCCCAAGAAGTAAAATAGCAGTTCCATTCAGACAAAATGTTCATAAATCAATGGCCACACAGTCAAGAGCACTCCAACTCTGCTTACCTCACAACCTCCCCAGCAGGTATGGGGCTCCCACACCTGTGTATTTCAGAGAAGGTTAGGGACTAGACTAGCTTGACACTCAGGGTCAATCAGCCATTCATCTCAGCCCAAAGTCCATCTCCTGGGTCTCTCTCAAGAACACCACTTTCTTTTTTTTTTATTATTGTGAACATACTGTACAGAGGGGTTACAATTACATGGGCAAGATAATGAGTACATTTCTTATCAAGCATTGCAGCCTCCTCCTTTGTTTACCCTTCA